ATAGATAGATAGATAGATAGATAGATAGATATAATTTGTTCCTTTTCTTGATAGAACTTTACAATTTACTCTTGTGGGTTTTGGTGTGCACTTGTTTTATGTCTGACTCCCCCATCAGTATGAGCTCTCTGATGGGCAGGAGTCTCATCTGCCTTGTGCCCAGCACAGCACCTGACATGCACACAGAGTACAGCTCAGAGAGGCTGACTTACCTAAGATTACACAGTTTAAAAGTGGAAATGTCAGGGTCTGAGCCTACGATTCTGACTCCAAAACCACGACCGTGAGCTACCAGGCACTGACCAATTAGAAATTTCATCCCCCAAATATAAACGGAATCATTTAGCCTCATGAAAATAGGTATCTGGCCTGACCCTTCCAGAGAGTTGTCACCTAGTGGGAGAAACTACTGCCTTTCGAGGTAGAAGGAGGAAGTACCGTGGGAAGCCACAGATGGACAATGGGGAATAAGGGAGCAGTTGTTCAGAGGTCCTAGAAGGTGGAAGTCATGGGGAGGGACCAGCATGGGCGAAGGTGCACTGGGGGATGATGTGACAGGGAATGTAAAACCTTGAGGGCTGGCCAAATACCTCAGCAGATTAAAGCACCTGCAAGCTGGCACAGGAGCCAGGGGTTCAATCCCTGGTCCTGCCATGTGGGCCCTGCCCCTGGGGCAGGCTGAGACAGCAATTGAGACTGGGCATGGTGGCACGAGCCTGTAATCCTAGCTCTTGGGAGGCTGTAATCAGGCAGAGCACTGTGAGTCTGATCTGGTAGTGAGACCCTGAACACCCTGAAGACCCTTCCCTAAAATACAAAAAAAAAAAAAAAAATCCCTTGAGGTACAGGTGAGCTGCTAGGTCTGAGGCACATAGGTGCCACCTGCAGCAGCCACACCTGCAGCCTCCGAGCTGGGCAGGAGGTCCCAGAAGCACTGAGAACAGTACTTGGGCAGCATGAGTGGCAGTGCGGGTGCAGAGCAGTACAGGGCAGTGCAGGCACATTTGGGCCACCCGAGTCTTCCCTGAGGCCTCAGTTCCATGACTTTTCCAGTGTTTACTCTGTCAAGGATTTGTGTTTGTGTGTGTGTGTGTGTGTGTGTGTGTGTGTGTGTTGTGTTGTAGAGATGCTCAAACTAATATTCTGTTCAAACCTTCCATTAACTAAGCACCAAGCACAAGGCTGGGTATTTCGGCTCTGGGTGTCAACTCTACCTGAGAACTCTACATTATTATTTTTCCTCCCTTGGGAATGAGGACACTGAGGCTGGGAGAGTTGAGATGACACAGCCTGCAAGCGGCTGAATAGAGACGCCACCAGGTCTCTGCAGCTCCGATGTTTGTTCTCTTAACCACTGTCCCGACACTGCTTCTGAAGTGTGCTACTCAAATCTGTGTGACAGTCCCATTTCACATAGAGCCTTAAAGATGAGGGCAACTTACTTTGAGAAAGTAAAATTGTTTTATTTTCTTTTGGTTTATTAGTACATGTGTGGAGTACATAATGTTCACCTCCCTTGTGGGAGTTGGTACCTGTACACAAAACATCTTGATTTCTTTGCCAGCCTCCTTCCCTTCCCTCCCTCTCCCCTCCACCCATCCCTTGATCCTTTTCTTTTTTGTCTGTACATTTGTAGCACAAGATGTTCACATTCTTCATGTGCAGTTGGTACATGCGCATAACAATCCTGGTTGCTTTTTTTGTTTGTTTGTTTGAGACAGGCTTTCACTATGAAGTTCACGCTGGCCTTGCGCTCTCTAGGTAGCCCAGGCTGGCCTGGAACTCACAGTGACCCTTCTGCCTCAGCCTCCTGAGTGCTGGGATTGCAGACGGCACCACCAAGCTGGGCCTGATTGCTTGTTTCATCTCTTACTTCTTTCCTCCCTTCCCACTCCATCTCTTGATCCCTCCCCCTTTGAGAATGATCTTTCAAATTACTATTGTCTATTTTTGTTTTAGTTTTTATTTTTATTCTAGGCTTCTCATAGAAGCAAAATAATGTGCTATTTCAGCTTGTGTGTCTGGTTTATTTCACTTTACAGTATAATCTCAAGTTCATCTATTTTCCTACAAATGACTCAAGTTTATCCTTTTTTATGGAAGATCCTTTTTATGACAGAAGAGTACTCCATTGTGTGTAAATACATCATTTTCTTTAACCATTCATCTGCTGATGGATCTATAGGCTGCTTCCACTATATATATATATATATATATATATATATATATATATATATATAGCTGCTATAAACATGGATAAACATGTAACAGCTGAATCAAATAAAATTTCCATGTTTAGCATGTGGAATCTCCATATTGATTTCTATCAAAATTGTATTAGTTTACACTGCCACTAACAGTATAGCAGGGTTCCTTTTTCCCTGCAGCCTTTCCAGCATTTGTTATTGCTTAATTTCATTCTTACTAGGTGAGATGGAACTCTGAAGAGCTGTTTTAACTTGTGTTTCTCTAGTGGCCAGCAATGGCACATTTCTTCATGTATTTGATGGCCACTTACCCTTCTACACAGTGGCTATTCATTTCACTTGCCCATTTTTTGATCGGGCTATGAAGTAAAAACATTCTGAGGCTGTCCAGAAAGTAAACGATCCTCTCAAATAGATTTCTTTTCTTCTTCTCCATCCCTCCGCCCCCTGCTGGCGCTGGCACTCAGGGCCTCACGCGTGCTGGCAGGGGCTCTGCTGCCGAGCTACACCTCAGCCCCCAGTCCCTTCTTCTATCCCAGCGTTGGCTCTGCTGTGCTTCCTTGAAGCAGACGTGCTTGGGCTTCTATTCGCTTGTCTTCTGCCCCTTGGCACCCATGCGTGTTTAAGCGCTGCCCTTCTCACTAATTTTTAAGATAGAAAAAGCACTGCTCCTGTGAGCTTCCCAACGTTCCGCTCAGCCCCCTCTCCTAACTTGGCAAGGAGGATTCGGGCTTTCCTTCTACATTCCTTATGCCAATTTGAAGCTTTTTTTTTTTTTTTTTTGAAGAGGTTTGAAA